CAGGCTGGTTTCCTGAACCAATTATGCTTGCATTCTTACGGCTCAAGGCGTGATGATTTCCATTTGGCTCATCGGGTTAGACGAATTTTATGTATTACACCAACGCATTGATGACAACCATTATAAAAAAAATTATCAAATAAGGGACCTATCCAACTCTGGTAGACATCTATCACGCAAAGCTGCATCGTACGCCATGTAACAAGAATGTAAGATATAATATGTGCTTCTGCATATTTGCTTCCAGACAAGCTACAGAAAGTGCAAAGTCAATCGGACGTCATAATCATCAGAAAACGCTAATCGCAAGACATGCAGTTTAAAACGCCAGAGACCATCTCGAAAAAAACTCCATTGAATGATGCAACAAAGGGCTACCAAGGCTATCCTAGTATCATCCAAGAAAGAAAACAAAGCTTCCTATATCCGTACACCTATGAGTATTGTAGAACGCCGCCGATAAAATAACATGGAATAATCATGCTTTCGTCACATGCCAGTCAGATATAACAAGGATGCATCTACTGGCCGTAGAATGTGTTGAAAAAGAAGTAATGGTCGGGAGGTTAAAGAGAAATGAAGGGTATAATGTTTTCAGGTGACTTTTCTCTTCTTGGGCTGCATGAAGACACTGGGGGCTAATCGTTTTCGAACCATAGGGCGCGGTGCCTGTGCCGGGGAGGTTTTAGATTCGTCGTCATTTGAACTGGTGTCCGCTCCAACAGGCCTGGATGATTCGCGGGTTGGCGTTTGATGCTGAGTCTTGGGTTTAGCTCCCGTGGCAGAGGCCCTTGACAAATCCCTGGCCGGCGATGAAGTCGTTGCAGTTTTTGGCGCAGAAGATGACGCCGAAGCCCGTGAGCTTACTGGGTTCCCAGACTTCAAGGCTCGCAGCCTTGCCTCTCTTTCTTGAAGTGATGGCGAAATTGTTTGATTATTCTGGCTTGCAGGATTAAGGGAGCCTTGTGGCCTTGACCGTCCAGGTGCAATTAACCGTCCAGGTGCGACTGATGGTGGAGGCCCCGTACGTCGAGGCGCAATGGGCTCAGATGGTCGCCTGTGCTCTTCAACAAGAGAACGAGGCGCCTGTCTGACTTGAGAAGCTCGGTTATGCAGCTGCTTTGTTGGAATGGCCAGCACATTATTTCTTTTCTTGGTAGTAAAGATGTTGCTTTTCTTCTTTGTATCTCGCGGAAGCGAAGGACGTTCGAAAGACCATGCAGACGGCCCTTGGGGATCTGAACTGGTGCTACTGAGACCGGAATTGGCACTGGAAAAGACAGGTGCAAGGCCGCCCATTTTTCGATCGTATGAAGCATATCGTTGCTTCGCGGTCGGCCTTTCCTGGGGAAGACGAAGGCTTCGTCGGTCGGGCACGAATTTTGCACTTTTTTCAGCACGCTCAGAGCTGATGCCATCCAGCGCCATCTTCAGTTTCTCTGCATCTTCCTCCACTGCTTTCTGAACCTGTTCCCGGAGGTCGCAGTATACGTCATACCAACAATCGGACTTCTCGGGCAAGTCGTACTCGTCCCACCGGGGTATATCTCGTTTTATGAATTCGAGCCATAGTTCGTCGTCGTCTTTGGATATATGGGGGGATAGTTGTTCTATCAATCTCTAGAAAAGGGGGCATATGTTAGTGATGGTGTCAAGCTGTATGCGATGTCAGATGGAATCCAACGACTCACGAGTTTCTCTGGGCTTTCGATTTTGAGGAGGAACGGGCGAGCGAGGGGATATGGAATATTGCCAATGTCATTTAAAACTGGAAGAAAGAAAAGAAAGGTCAGATTGAAGCTGTAGTGAGAGCTCTGTTAGGGGTGGCGTACGTACACTTCACATTCCTGATAGCAGTCGCCGTGCTAAGCTGCAGCAGCGACGGCGGCGGCATTGTGGTCAAGGGGACAGCAAGCCAAAAAAGCTCAAAAATAATGGCATGAGGAGTTATAATAGATAAATCCTGACAACTGAGTTGAGGATCAAGAAAAAGCTGATCGCAAGTGGTCACTCGTGATAAATGATGCAGTGGTCGATCGCAATGGCCGAAGATGGATGCTGCCTGTCCATCACATGATTTCATGGGGCTGCTCTGGTGCCAAAGAAAGCTTGTGGAATATTCTTCCATTGAATTTGAATGGTGCTTTCAATGCTTGTAATAGCTTTTTACATGGTATTTAATTCAATTATCTAAGATGGCAATTTATTTGGAGTGAAAGAAAATCATTCATGTATGGGCGAATCACTCAAATATATACCATTAATTCAATATTCAATATTTAATATCCAAAAATAGCACAGTAAATTCATGAACCAGTAATCTAAGTGAAGGGAATCAAGGGTAGTAATGAAAAGAAATAGGATATTATAAAAGACAGCATTAAGGGGGCTTCAATAGCCAACTGCGACAGCCTGTAAGTTGTGAGTGATAGACCCGTAGCAGCATCGCTGATGAGTTAGATTATTTTTATTCGTGAGCAGCCAGAATACCATTAGCCTTCGGATTCTGCGATAAAGTCTCTTGATGACTCTCAGGCATCTGGGCCAGCCATGATGGTGGTGTAATACCAGTTTGCTCATGGATGGTGCTCAAAAGAGGAGGGAGGTTTTGCATGATATCTCGTAATGGGCCCACGGAATCACCAGAGCCACTTGAATTCCCTGGAAACAGATTAGAATCTGGCGAATAAGAGGCAAAAAACAAACAGCGCTTACCTGTATTCCATGTCGTGATCTTTGGCTGGAGACCATTGATGGCAGCACCATTGGCTTCGGCCAACCTCTCGTAAGTACCAGTTTCCATCATCTTAAACTGCAGGAATGCCTGTGGCCCGCCGAGAACATCGACAAGAGCACCATAGGCCTTTGCCATCTCCAGAGTTCCTTCAGCTTGACGCTTTTGCTGGTAGAAAGAAGCGTCTGCCTCTTTGCTCTGACGATAATCTGAGATCAACCAGTCAGTTTTGATACTATACATGGAAAAGGTACCATCCACTTACGCAAGGCATCTGCTTCCATCTTTTTCTTATACAACTGCGCATCCGCTCCCTTTTGCGCAGTATAGTAGGCTGCATCTGCATCTTCCTGAGCAGACTCGCGCGCAACCTTGCTCTTGGTGACATCGTTTGCCCTGAGACGCTCAAGCTCCGTCTCAGCACGCGTAGTCTCAACTTCCTTCTGCAGCTCTGCATCTTTCATCTCCGCCTGACGCTGGGCAGAGATCCTGCTCAGCTGCACGCCCATATCAAGCTCTGTTTGGCGGTTCGTGAGCTCCGAGTCAGCCTTGGCCTTTTCAGCCTTGCGTTTTGTCTCCAAGACGGCCGTATCGGCATCGATTTTGGAAATTTCCTGCTTGGTTCTCCCTTTCTTCTCAGCTTCGCCGATTTCACCGCGCATTCTTGCTTCGGCAACATCAATTTTGGCTTGGTTGAGGGCTCCTTCATGAGCTTTGCGACTCAGGAAAGCAAAATACTCGCTGCCAGGGGTATCTTGAAGCTCTTTGACGTTTGCATTGTAACTATGACAATATTAGGAAAAAAAAAATGTATGAATAGCGAAATGGACAGAGAAACTCACATTCGTAACCCAAATTGCTGGAGTTCATTTTGAACATTATCAATGACTATTCAGAGCATAAGTATACGATCCCATCATGTCCAAGAGGGCCACAAACCTTTCGCCTTGAAAATCTGTCTCTCTTTGAATATCTCCTCCATCGACATGCTAGAAACAATGACGCGAGTTTCGCCTTCGATGATTCCCTTTACGATATCCTGCACATGGTTCTTTCTTGCTGGGTTGATTACATCTTTCAGCTTGGAAAAGTCCGATCCTTCGGTGTTTCCAGACAGAAGGAGAGCGTATTTCCTGAGTGCTTCCTGGTTATTATCAGGCCCGATTGTGAAGACGGCTGGCAACGAGAACTGCAATTTCTCGATGGTCATGGCCTGTAGACTCAGCGAGAAGTCAAACGGCGACACGGATATTCTCGAGCACTTAAAAATAGTAGTCAGTAGTTGTTGGATGGATTTAGTGCGTCAAGACTTACTCGTTGGAAAGGAAACACGACGGCTTTCTTGCATATACGAAGATCTTCAATCCCGGCTCCAGTGAGCACGAGATATTCGTTTGCTCGAGCAATTGCGTATCTGCATTATATACTTGATGAGTTTACTGTTCTGGGAGTATGAATAACCAATAACCAACCTCATATTGGTATCTTTGGTGGTGCAATTGTTTCAAGAATATTTGAATTGTAAGCAGAAATATTCATCCAAGTCTCGACTGTTCTTCAAAGGATGAACAGAGTATATAAAATGTAAGAAGAAGTTGGTGCACTGTAGACAAACTATACATATGAAGTATGATACACATAGCATCGAAGACGAAGCCCATTTTTATAAATCTTTCTACGGATAGACAGCCTTGTTCATCCACATACCTATATTAGGCAAGGTGTATAGCATGTGCCCAGTGTATTGTCAATGCCGGCTTAGCAGACAAGGCGCAGATGGTCGCTTCCACATGATGAAGGCAAAATCCACAACATCCGGCATTTCATGAACAGAATAGCCAGTAAGAAGGATTTTTTTCAAGAAGCCTCATTCTACTGACACGCCCGGGCAAATACGCCCGGCAGATGAGGCTGTGTTCATCACAGGATGATCCATTGACAGGCCAGGATTATGCCAACGCCCGAGTTTCGTGGCCGCCCCAAGCACAAAGCGAGAGAGCCTCATGTCAATCTTTATCAAATTGTCTAAGATCAACGATCAGGCTTGGATGATGTCTAGGATGTAGACCTTCCAAGGTTAGACGCGGACGTGAGCCACATCTAAGACTTGTGTTTTTTTGAAATTCTGCTCATGGCCAAGAAGATAGTCGACTGAATATACGAGAGCATGCTCTAGAGTATAATCACTCAAGAGACTCTGATGATATTGCATGGTTGTCGAGGGGAAAGAAGAAGATGTTGATGCTTTATACAGACCTACGTCACGTGCTGCCTCTCCACCCCACCAAAACAAACACTGCAAAATGCCTCTTGGATAGCATCATAGTGAGGGAAGCGTCACATTGCTCTCCTCTTCTCTTCGCTCAACAGATTGTCTATTTGATTGCTTATCCATCCAGGAAATTTTGTGATCTGCTCACTTAAATTACTTTCTCAAAGGTATGTATGATGCTTCTTTTGAATTATTTTTGACCAGTGACAACCTCACGGCCTGTAACACCATGCAAGCCCCTCATCGGCCTGAGACTCCTTCGGGTTTCTCCCATATCATGGAGCTGATGATTATGTTTACGGCATTTATTGCATTGCTATGCAGAAACCAAAGGCTCATGTCAATGCTTCATACATGACATCATTGTCCCTCTTTCATTGCCCCGCTCGTGTCAAGAACGTTGAGTATTAACAACTTAGCTTTAGAATCACCAAAACATGGGTCCACGCTCGCCTCTGGAGGTCTACACCTCCTCAGTCTTGCGCCTTGTCAAGGAGGAGGCGTCTTACCACCGCGAGGAACAAGATCAAAAACAACGGATCCAGCGGATGGAAGGCGAAGAAGGAGATGAGAACAAGGAGTTTTTGTTGAATCAAGAGGTATGCATAGCTCGTTAATCCAAAATGTTCTTGATTGGTGACCCTCAAATACAGCGTCTGGCACTCGAGGAAACCAGAAAGGTCTTCCCCAGCTTGAAGCTGAAAATCGAAGACAACGTGAAAACTCTTGAACATCTACTGGTGAGTTGTTCGATCCGTGTTCCATTGCAGATTGATCAACCGAGCTGAGACTCTATGACAGACTGAGGAGGGCAAGAAGGGCCCCGAAAGCAACGTCGAGCATATCACTGCTGCCAAAGAGGCCATTGCAAAGGCTAAGTCGGCTGAGCGGGAGATCTCTTAAAATGAAAGATTTGCATGAGAAGTCCCTGTGCCTGTGATGTAGTGTCAGGAGGCAAATTTGATGAATATGCAGAATAAGAACATAATGTAAATTAAAAAGAGGTGTCATGATTCCAACGCCGCCAAACCTAACTCCATGCTTGATAATGATTCGATGGCTATGTAATGTCCATTCTGTCGTTCACTTCTTCCCCTTCTTCCAGGTGATCAGGCCGTTCTGCGTTATCTTCCCCTTCGGTCACTTCTCCTTCATCCACCATGGTAGCGTCTTCCTGATCAGGAGATATCTTCTTCTCATTTTCAGCGGTAGTGACCTGCCGTAAAGGTGACGCTGCCCCGGCAGCTGTGATGCTCTTCTCTGCCTGCAGACCCCCGAACGATCGACCGGTCTCATCTTGACTATGAGACGGCGTCGCACTATCTCCATCAGGACGTGGTGTATTCGCTTCGCTGGATTTGCCCTTAGAAGGAACGTCGCCGTCATCCGCATCCGCATCCTCTTGCATACCTTCCCTGCGCTCAACCTCTTCCTTTTCGTCTCGAATGAGGCGTCGAAGCTGCATTCCTTCTTCCACAATACGGCCAAACTGCTCTCGCCTTTCGGACCAAGTTTGCGCGTATTCCTTGCTCTCCTTTTCTAACTCGGTGATTTCTGTTCGTAACTTCTGGAGGTTCGACTGCTGATCTTCGCGAGGCTTGAGAAGCCTGTTGCTCGTAATCTTCTCGGCCAGATCGTCGTAGCTTTTCCGTAGGGCAAGAAGTCGTTGCGCCTCTTCCAGCTGAGACCGCAAGTCAGACGTGTTTTCACGAACGGCTTGCATCGTGGAGAGAATCTGAAGCTTTTCGGCGGCATAGCGCTCCCGTTCCCTCTCGTTACTCGTCAGCAGAAATTGGATGCGCGCAATGCTTCCTTCGAATGCGGCAAAATCAAGAGTCACATCTTCGCGAAAATTGCGCCATTCCTCAAGCCTTTTCTGTTTTTCGGCCTCTGCCGCTGTTGTTGCCTCTTGGTCGGCATCTTCTGGAGGAGGGGTGGGAGGGAGTGTTGCATTCGAGACCACAATCGATTGGGAAGTTAATAGACGTTTCGATATCCGACGGAAGGGTTTTTCTTCAACGTTTAGAAGACGCGATTTGTGAAGAGCATCTGCGAGGGTCAGTATGGGGAGAGAAGAAAAAACAAGAAAGGCCAACCCGACCTTCTTCCGCTTGGTCCAACAATCCATAGGATGCCATCACGTCTAGAATCAATCGAGGCTTGAAAACGACACTGGATGGCCGATGGTGGATCGGTCTTTGTGTCTGTCTGGTGGTGTCTAAGGTCGATGCGAGCGGTCTGGGGGTCGGCGCTAGCGGGCGGAACATCTTCAACCTCTCCACTCCCTGTCGATTCTTCCTGCTACAATCTGGACCGCCTTTGGATCGTCGATTCTCCCACCAACTCCTTCAGCCCCAAAATCAACGGCCCTTCCAGGGTCGTTGGTAGATGGCAGTGCTTGCTTTTGCATATTGTGATCAGCGATTTAGCGATGCCCGTATTCTACTTGCTTATGGTTATTCCGCTACTGCAATCCCCTATTCTTGCTGACCTATCTTAGCTCCACTCAGAGCTCACCAGTGCAACATAGATCAACCCCGACGTTCCTGCATCTACAGAACCGGAACGCACCCTGATCATCGCTAACAGCCCACTGATGGAAATCTTATTTGGCACCACTGCCACGGCTTTCACCGTTGTTGGATCGCCTTCATTTATCCTGCGTCGCTTTCCTACCCCATCATGACGGAAATGTATTCGGGGCTCCATGTGGGCCAACAGTTTGTATCGCTGGAGGAATTTAAAACTGTCGTACGGAGCATCTCTGTAAGGCAGCACTGGGAGCTCCGGGTGACACGGAGCAACAAGAAAAGTGTCGTGATAGGCTGCCGATCGTCTGCTAATTGCTACTTTCGCGTTGTCTGCCGGGCCAACAAAAATGCGACTTATATCACCAGTTTACAAGACAGCCATAGTTGTCGCAGGAACGAGGTTTCACCGGGGACAACACCTGCGCGCTCCGAGGCATCGCATGTTCGGTTTCTTCTGACGGAAATACCAAAACTCTTCGACATGAAGAGCAAGATCAAGGGCCAGGAGGTTGTGGATGCCGTCAAACGCTACCATGGATATGATATTTCGATGAGACAAGCTCAGCGAGCTCTTACAAAGTTGCAGCCGCGACAGGCATCAAGCCAGAATGGCGATACCGGTTATGATGACAGCAGAATTGTTCGCCAGGATACTCAACACCTGCATCCGGAATCACCGGAAAATCAACCTGGCCCATCGTATAGCGGTCTGCCAGGGCAGAGGTGGATTCCAGAAAATATGCGGCCAGAAATCATTGATATCAGTCAGAACGAGCCTCAACGCAGTCCTATTCCAGCCCCGCAGCAGCCCCATGCCCAGTCTGTGGCGCTCGCACCTTCACTGCAACATCCTGCCCCTGCCCCTGCACCTGCACCTGCACCTGTACCTGCTCGATCGCATGAACCAACCCCTCTCAGCCAAAGTACCGCTTCGCCTAATCCGCCGCAGCCTACCTTTGCCCGCACGGCTCCCAATCAAATCCATATAACGCAGACGAAACAGCCGGCACCCCAGACACAACCCCACGACGGTGGAAACACCCATACTTCTCAACCGGTATTTTCAAACTTTAAGATTGAGTTTACCTGTACTACGTGTGGCGCTTTGAACCAGAGTTTCTTTCCGAACCAAGGAAACACTGCGGACGGGAACTACTTGCCTCCGCATCCTGTACCCGAGCAAGCAGCTGATCCAAGGGCTGTAGGCCCATCTCAACCTGGGCCAGGTAACAATAGCAGCAACCCAGTTGGAAGTACGACTGCATTTGAAGGCGCCCCTGTTGCCAACACGCGCGTTATACAACCTCCTTGGCCAGCGGGAGCCCTGGAAGTTCCAATCGCCCCAGCACATTCCTGATTTACTACAGGACTATCAAATGGTCCCTGACTCGCTACCTGTCACAGGTTCATATGATCTGTATCTCATTTGAAGAACCGCTTGATGTAATGTCTAGTATTGAGCTTCTTTTTCGAAGAAGACGCTTGGCATACGGTCATACGGTCAAACATCATTCGACATAAGTCGCGCTGGTAATGGTTCGAATAAACAAGATGATGATCTTGACTGGAATCGGGCGCAAGATTATTCCCACCGGCCCGGCCTGAATCCATCAAGTAAATCTTGCATTGGTCGCACTACCTTGGCCATCATCCTGATCAACAGACTGATCGCGAACATGGAAGAATTGATCTACAACATTTTACTTTATTTCTAACGTCTCTGGACTTTACGAATGAAAGTCCCACGCCATTGAATCAATGCTACTTGAAGAAATTCAGTCATGGCATATGGTCGACTGTTCGAAAAATTGATGCCCACGCGTTTAATAACTTTCTTGAATATATGAAGGGCTTTATCTGCGGCTGTTCTATTTCATACAGGGTTTTGGTACATAACCTTATTGCCTATTTGCACCTATTGGGTTAATCGCGATTGTCCGTTTAGCGTGACTGTTCATATATCAGCTATGTACATGACTGTTGCCACAGTATATAATATCTCATTCAGAACTTCGTTGGAGTTGAATTGTGAAATAAATTTATTAATTACTTGATTTTCTTAAACTTTTGTTTGATTTTTGCAACCTTTGGGTAGTTGGGTAATTGACAAAATGCTGCCTGAAGAAACGATACTACTCGTGCCACGACGAAATCGAAATTGAATACTGCAAATTCTGGCTTCAAAGATTACTACAGAGAGAGGAATAAACTTCTGAAGTGTCTCGTCAAATGTACATTCGGGATTTCCCTCAGCATTGAATTGACGAATCCAATCTTCGCGTGGAAGCCGGATGGAAGAGGGATTCCTAGTCACGTCATCCGTCTGCTTTGTGCCATAATTCCCGGGCTGCCTCGTCCGTTTTCTGAACAGCCTTGACACGGTCATATCTAATTTTGTTTATATTTATTGAAGAGGACATACTGGATGTCTTGATCCGCCCGAATTGAAGCAGGGATACGTCTTCGAGCTTCCATGGGAAAGATTATGATTCTTAATTGTCGGCATCATCCTGGAGACATGATTGTTGGAGGATTTTCCATCACCCAGCAATACTCAATAAGGATATCCTGGACTCTATGTACAAAATAGCAGACGATTCAAGGTGTCTTTCATTGGAAGTACATATAAGCATCACGCAGGGAAAACTTGACCTGAGCTTTCACAGACGGAGTCCTCCATGCAGCCTACCCTTTTCAACAGAATCATTCAAGATGCATATATATATATATATACTCTGTACTATGCTCCAGCATATATTTTGCTTGCCTTGATCTTTCTTTCCCAAAAGGGCAAGGTCGATGACATAACTCCGCATCTGTATCGGGGGTTTGCCGATCGCACATTTTCTTTTCCTTTGACAACGGACTGTTCTGGCTCACCGTTGATACTTGAAAGTGGAAATGTCTTGATGTGCGACATGCGAGTCGTGGCCTGTCAATAGCTCGGAATAACCACTGATTAGCAACTTCCCAAGCGGAATTCGTCCAGCGCCGCCTCCATCGGACGTCCGACGAGGCCATCGCGGATGCCGACGTAACCGCTCCACATCCGACCAGACGGTTTCTCTTTTTTGGAGCCAAAATGCACAAAGAAAGGCGGAATTGGCCCGACAGGCTCCCTGCGTTTGGAGTGTGAGCAGATCAGGGGAGAGGGGCTTTCTGACTGGCCTGTCAGTGGCGCAGATTCTGACCGTCGGTGTAGGGTCCGATGCACGCCTGGAGTTATTGATAAGGCCCAATTTATCCCTTGATATCCCTGCAAGATGTGTTGCTGCTATTGCTGCGTTTGGAAAAACCGGGATAGTAAAGGATCATCTAGGCTGTTTGAAAAATCTTCTTGATACCCGATACCTTTTCTACTGGCTGCTGTGA